TTTGATCATTTCTATCAAAATATGTTAAGTTCATGTCATCAAGAATCACCTTCTTCGAATACGAGCCGCAGAATAATAACTCCTGCTGCAATTTTAAAACGATCACACGAGTCCCACTTCCAGATAAACGAAGCATAACGATCGTTGAAAACAATTTACATTCCACGGCACTTCCATGACAAGCAAGTACTTAACGGTGTCTGCACTTGGTATCTACCACGACGGTTTCTCACTTCCCAAAGACTCTGGCAATTTGCGTGAACAACAAGACAAAAGACCGAACCTCACATTTGGAATGTTAATTGAAGTTCGAACTCATATGAGTTCCGATTGTTTTCCTACATGTTCGCCGTGTAACATCCACAACATCCAAAACAGCGCGAAGGAAAAGGTACAAACAAATCGTTCAGAACTAATTTAAGCCCATTTTCCCCCGTTTTCCGATGCATTGTGCTTTTCGCACAATGCTAAACGCTCACGTAAACACTAAAAACATAAATTCACGAGGTGACGATGCTGCTGCTGCTGCTGCTGCTGCATCAAATTGTACAGGCGCCTTCGAGATGGATTGGAGTTGCGTGATGCCATACCGCAAAGTGACGAGTACGTTGCCACCACTGGCCGCCGTTTGCAGAAGGGTTAATGTCATCTTGGGGGAAACAAACTGAGCTGAAGAAATTATGGAAAACATATGCAAAATAGTTGTGAGTTGTGACAGTTGGGTGTAGGCGGTTCTCGGCGGACGCGTGCGCGCGCTAAATCGTGTTTACCAGAGGCGTAAATGGCCATTTCCGCTGTTCGGCTTCGAGTGGCGTGTAAACAAAGCTAATATAACGCCATCGTCATCGTTGGTCGGTCCCCCATAGTGGTTGGTTATGCTTCATGGTGGGAGAAATTGTTCAGTCTTGAGCTGTGCGCGGTGCGGCTCGGTGACCAGTAAGATACCCGAAATGGTCACGGTACTGATTGAGAAGCTAGAAACAGTGCTGCGAAAAGCGAACCGCTTCCTATATTGTTTAATTTTATTTTCGGCTCCAATATTCGTTACGAGGTGATGCTGCTTTTTTGGTTATGTCACCTACGAAACAGAACCGAAGTCGAAGTAATAATCATCCATGCGACGAGGACACCACCGGGAGGCGGAGCAGGGGCGCCATCGAAAAAGTGGCGGCGCGCGTGGTTAATTTTGGATATCGAGTCATTATAACTAGCCTTATCGAGGGTACGGCGGGCGTTCGATCGTTCGAACTGTGCTTGTTGTATTTATTGATAATGTGTGGCTTTCCGGGGGCACCCACTCAGTTGCACTGGCTAATAAGCGACTAGGTTTGGGGATGTAAGATTTATGCTTCTTTTGCAGCAAGCTTCTGATGAGCGTTGAGGATGGGGAAGAAATTTATTAACTTCGAATTAAGTCATTTGGACATTTGCCCGTGAGAGATAATGGGTTCGGAATGGGTACAATATCTGAATATCTAATTGGATGGTCGTAGGCATTTCCGTTTGCAAACGATGAAGCCTTGCTTGTCTTGAGCGAGATTTGTTATTTTAACTACCTACATACGAATGAGATGAATGACTGGTCCTCATTTTTCGATAACTTGAAAAATACTATTTAGGTAGGGTTAATGCCCCTAACGTCGGTCTGAGTGTCTTTAATATTGGGCCCGTACATACATTTTTAAGGAAAGTATTTTTTACTTTTTTCCAGCAGCATAAAAAAATATTAATTTGTATTGTCCAGATGACGCATTGATCCAAGAAAAATTGAAGAACAGGAGATTTTTGGCGATGGGCTCAATCTTTCGATAGGCCAACATTAGAGCCACTTCCTTTATAAGTTTTCTGAAACAGTACCGTTGCAATAAAAGTCAAAAGTTAGGTCGACAATTTTATACATAACTGTTGTTTTAGATATTGAACAACTCAAGGACAGCGATGGCATGATGTAATTTGTGGTTGCATTCCTTTCATCTACGCGAGCTAGAATTGAATGCCGTAAAACAAACACGTTTTAGAACTGTCGATGTTTAAATTTAATTGTTTTCTTATGTAAAAATTACATGTTCGTTTGAGCTTTGGCTGCAATAATAAACTTCTCGACACACTTTCGAAACGCATGTCAAGCTTTGAACGTCTAGTTTGGGAGGTCAGTTGTCAGAGCTGGATTTTCGTTTACGGGGACCCTGCACCATCAAATGAAGCACAGCTGATTTTTCAACCGAAATTTAGAATGGAAAAAAAAATTAAATTCTTTTAAAAATCTTGGGTTTAAAAAAAAACTGAAATCCACCTGGAAGGAAGATCTCTAACTGAACTTTAATTTTTTTTTAATCAGTACCGGATCCTTTTTGCTAGTACCGGTACCAAGAGGTTCAGTACAAGTAATGCCGATTAATTGACGGTACCCAAGCACTTAGGGAAAAATAAATGTATATTAGTAGAACAAATTATTAGAAATTGAAAACATTTATTTCTAGGGTGCAACATGTGAAAAGGACGTATGAGCCAATTGTAAGAAATTACATTAATGACAAGATTTACGGAATCCTTTTTTCATAATGCTTGTTTTATCCCTTTTCATTTGTGGTAGAAAAGCAAGCACCAAGATTAATTTTCATATCTTTACGACTTCTGGATGTTCCTGATGAATGTGGGTTTTTATAGTGGAATACCTGTAAAAAGGAAGAGTAAATTTTAATAATTTCCATTTGGTTCTAGTACCTTAATTGATAATCCTTTACAGATACACGTATTTCGTATACAATGAGCAGTCTTCTTAAGTGTCTTGTATGTGTATGTATGTAAAGGATATCACTCTAGGTTGCAGGACACAGCCATTAGTCAGTGGATTATCCACCTCGTATGACTTGATCAAGTACGATAATTAGTTGTTTTCAATTTACCATTGTATGAAGGGCCAAAAACGGAGGGTGGGTCCGTAAGCAGAGACACTTCCGCGTGATACACGGAAGCAAGAACAAACCATCATACGAAGGGATGTCTCAATGAGTGGGGAGAAGAGCCTACCGTCAATTCACGAATTGTTAAAAACAGGGAGTTGGCAATTCCACTCTCCCCATCCAAATTGCTTCAATCAAGTGCCCTGATGGTCCCATCCCTACTCAATGAATTTATATGTTCATATGAAAATGTGTAGAATATAAGAATATAATATTATTGCTGCCAACGGTGACTACCCTGACGAAAACAGCGAACTTGGAACTTATCATTTTTCTAGAATATAACACCATTGCACAGGTGCCACTGGACCTTCATGTCCACCATCTGTCACTGGAAGTTGTCAGTTTCTTACTTGGACTAAAAAGTTATCATGCGACACCTCAAATCACATGAGAATGAAACATCTAGTTCAATTGTAGCATGAACATGAGCATGATTGACCGCCCACGGTTGCTACTCTGTTATTGCCAGATCATCTGTAATTATAAAGAGAACCAATAGACGATACTTGGGACTAGCAACCATCCTCAATGTGTAAAAACTGGTGATCTCAAACTAGGCAATACCAGCGCCGGTCGCGCCCGAACGCAGGTCAAGAAAGGAATGGGTAGAAATGTGTTGACGTGATACCCGCTATGTTGGAAGCCGAGAAATCCTGTGTACTTCCACGAGATATCACTGGGATGTTGGATAAAAGGGTTTGGATTGCAGCAGGATTCGTTTTAGTAAACTATATGCTCAATTGATCTCCTAACGATTCAATAGCGCAAAGGATCTTGGGTTTGAACCCACGGTCTTCTGCTCAGTAAGCAAATCGGTCGCCACTAGGCCACCGAGCTCCTTATATCACAAAACCATTACGACCAAGTTTCCGTTCAATTTGTTGTTATTATGTTTCGATCCCGGTGACGACCTCACCGACGACGGCAACAATTGCTCTAGAAAATAATTTGATATGGATTTCCAATCAATACGTCTTTCCTAAAATTCAAATATTACTTCTTTTACGTACCCGTCATTTTAACCGAATTTCATTACGCTCAATAGTGTAAGGTGGTTGGGTTCACGATATTCTGCTCAGTAAGCATAAACGGTCGCTCTAAAGCCACCGTGTCCTTTACATCACAACAAGCTACGACCGACGATCGTTCATTATCGATTACAATAAGCTATTACAATTAAATGCAGTCCCCGAAAGTAGTTAACAATGTCTTCCGAACCAGATCAGGCTTACGTCACATTTGTTTAAATATATGTATTACTTTTCTGAATCCACCGATTTCTATTATTAAGGATTTTCTACAATAGAGGCCTGGTTAGATCAACTTAGTAATGTAACGAGGCTTAGGTTTTACCTCATGATCTTCTACTCAATAAGCAAAACCGGTTGATCTATACACCGTGCTCCTTACATTACCACAATCTACGACCGACTTAACAAAAAGCTTTTCAAATGAAGCGACGTCCCCGGAAGTAGCCAGCAATGTCCTGCAAACTGGATCACGCATACACCCTTTCATGGTTTCAACAATTTAACTCTTGGTTATTAACTGCGATTTATGCTCTCGGATCCCAGTTATGGTGGTTTATTCTGTTGTGGGAAAGCTTGGGATTAAATCGATGATATTCTGCTTACTAAGCAAAATCGAGCCTCTGAAAACCACAACACTTCACGACAAAATCAAGAACAACATGTGAAAAGGGCATACAATCTTTTTGTAAACAAACTTTTGTAGGCCCTTTTCTCGCCAACCGAGGGTCACCCACGCAAACCATCAACAACACCGGTAAGGGGAAACTTCCTTCTTCCCGATGATGTTGTTGGTTTGCGTGGGTGCCCCTCGGTTGGCGAGAAAAAGGCCCACAAAGCTTTGTTTACAAAAAGCTTGTATGCCCTTTTCACATGTGGCTCTTGAAATATGATTAAGTTTTCACTTGGTATGTAATGAACAACAGAGATACGCGATAATTCATATAGTTTCTGCGGTTGATGGTTAATTTTAAATATAGGAATGATACTTCCTACGGCGACAACGATGGCGACTACGACGGCGACTACGACGGCGACTACAACGGCGACTATGACGGCGACTACGATGGCGACTATGACGGCGACTACGATGGCGACTACGACGGCGGCTACGACGCCGGCTACGACGGCGACTACGACGGCGACTACGACGGCGACTACGACGGCGACTACGACGGCGACTACGACGGCGACTACGACGGCGACTACGACGGCGACTACGACGGCGACTACGACGGCGACTACGACGGCGACTACGACGGCGACTACGACGGCGACTACGACGGCGACTACGACGGCGACTACGACGGCGACTACGACGGCGACTACGACGGCGACTACGACGGCGACTACGACGGCGACTACGACGGCGACTACGACGGCGACTACGACGGCGACTACGACTACGACGGCGACTACGACGGCGACTACGACGGCGACTACGACGGCGACTACGACGACTACTACAACGACGACACCAGCAAATCAGGAACTTAACATTTGTCTAGGATATAACACCTTTGCCCAGCACCTCCTGGATCTTCATGTCCGCTATCTGTCACTGTTTGCAAAAATATCTAATAGTAATTACCTTTGTCGTAATACTTCCTTCAACGAACAAAAATTTTCTTGCATTTCCATGGTCATCTGGGAGGAGGTTCGCGTCAAGTGCTTTCCCTAGGAACTGTTCGTGGCCACCATCCGTCCTGTCTTGGGCGAATCCAGCTCGCAATCTCCGACACCGGCGAGAGACCAGCAGCCGAGCACCTTTGCAAACGGATAACTTGCTGATTCACGACAACGTCGGCCACCAAATCACCACAAAAACTCGCGACGGACACATTATCAGCTCTTTCCCGAGCTAATTCACCAGCCGGGCCAGGTTCAAGCTCGCCCACGGTGACGAATCTCTCAGTAGAACTACACACCGAAAGTGTGGCATCCGATCTCCTGAAAAACCTAATTCAATTGTAGCTATATTCAGTGCTCAGGATCAAATTTGTCACGTTTGGATATGTTCTAAGTACCACCAGAAATGTGGCCAGAATCTGGAATAAAATTAAAGTCACATAAAATCACACCAAAATTCAAATACATGATCTGAGTGCTCCCTGTCCAAAATCTGCCATAAGTCAAAATGTATCGCATGAAAATTCAAACAAAGACCCACATATTATTCAGAAATTATCTTACTTCTCTGCCTTAGATGCGGACTTGTGAAATTTTGTCGGAATTTAAATAAGTAAGAAGGGATAACTTCTTCTTCTTCTTCTTCTTATTCTTCTTCTTCTTCTTCGCATTCCAAGTTTATTGCTTATCGCATATTAGCTTATTGAGTGCTCTCAACTTAGTGTTCTAGATGCACTTCCACAGTTGTTCATTGAGAGCTTTCGATGCCTGTACCATTTTTGCATTAGTATAATTGTGTGGCAAGTACAATAATACTCTATGCCCAGGGTAGTCGAGACATTTTCCAACCCAAAAAAATCCTAGTTCGGACTGGGAATCGAACCTAGCCACCTCCAGCATGGTCTTGCTTTGTAGCTGCACCTTTACCGACTGAGCTAAGGGTGGCCCCACAAATCTCTTCTTAGGTGCCTAAATTCAGGTTTTTTCTTCTGTAACTCCGGGGGACGTTGAAAGAATCTCCTGAAAAAGTCTGACAAAACTTCCGTTTAAAACTGTAATACGCTTCCGGAGGATGCCAGAAGAACTTCTCGGAATACCGGAAGAAATTTTCTGTGAAATTTGAAGCAAAACAACTTGGAGAAGTTGAAGCAAAACATCCGGGATAAGCCAAAAGAACTTCTGGAAGAGACATCTGGACTTCTGCAAGGAAGCAATGTTGAAGATAAGTTTCCGGGAAAAGTTTGCTGAAACTTCTGTTGATTATATTTAAAAAAAAGCTTCCAAGAATGACAGAAGAATCCTCTGGTGGGAATCAGGAGAAACTTCCGGAAGAGTATAAAAGATTTCTGCAAAATACTTCTGGGAGGTAGTTTCCTGGGACAGTGGGATGCAATTTTGTTAAGTACAGTCAACTCTTCACAACTCGATATTATATAACTCAATATTTTCTATAACTCGATGGTTATAATAACAAGAACGATCCCTTCATTTTCCTATGTATCGTACTCTCCATAAGTCGGTATTTCCACAAATCGATGTTTTATGAAGTGTGATTTTGATTCTATAACTCGATATCTCAAAGGTCGATTTTCTGCATTCTATGATTCTGATGTTGAAACCACAGAAACTTCAAAAACATGATAACTGGTGATCATATTGAGTAGCCAGGACCAATCGGCCACATTCGATCATATTCCTGGTTTCCTGGTGGTACATACCTGTAATTCATACTTATATCTATCATGAGACAAAGATGCCCCCAGAGAAGTTACTAGACTAGAAGCAATGCGATCGATCAAATCTCAATAATTTGCGATTATATTGAAAGCCTAGTACAACTGCAGACACATCCGGAATTGTTTCGGTGTCCTTGGGGCAAATGGCCAAACATGAACTTAAAGCTTGCGAAAATTTTGAAGACAAATGGGACGAATTTTATAATATTAAAATCAAGTAGAAAACCATGCAATGCTTCATGGGATGTTCAACAGACGTTAAATACTGAAGATTTTTATTTTTATTAAATCAATATGGGCAAAATATAACAACAATCTAATGCATAACTATCTAACAAACTATCATATGACTGAATTTCCCGATTCCCGGGAATTTCCAGAAATAGTCATCGGCTGCTTCCCGATTCACAGGTAATCAAATATGTTCGGAAAATGGAAGCAGTAAATTTGAATCATTTAATGTGTTTTGATGTATTGATATTATAAGATAGTCAAACTAAATTATCTTTTATGCATTCTCAGAACTACGCGTACTCATTTCGATTCAACTTACTCGAAACAAGTGATTCGCAGCAACTATTCATAATTACCAATAAATTTCATCTAACACTCAAAAGCAAGCCTCCAGCTACACATTGTTTTAGAACAACTTCTAAAGCAAAGACAATAATCACAACAATGAAACCCATTATTACTTTCAAGAGCCGTGTGCCCCGGCTGCTCTTGGATGTAGAATTTTATCACCAATTAATTCATCTCTCAAACGAGATAGGCTAGCTAGCAGCAACAGAGAACAAAACAAAGCTCCAATCCCGTGCATCATCCAGCAGCCAAGCACGTTACCAAGAAACAAGACATTGTCGCTGGGTGGATCAGATTTTCGGGCAATCTCGTGCCGAAGCGTTGTCGTCGTTGTCGTCGTTACCCCTACAACGCTATCTGTCCATTTAGGAATGGATGGGAAAACGCAATTTTCTTCACACGGAGCCGGACGAAGTCCGAGGTAGGTACTCGTTCTCACACACGAAACGACTGGGCAAGAACGAACGTCGAATAGTGTGTCAGTCAGCTACGGTTGGTGAGATGTGCGTGTACAACGTTTGACGCCCTTTGAATTCTTGGTTATCGTTTTTTTTTTGGAGGCCCTTGAAACATACCATGATGCCGTAGGGCTCCGATGATGGACCTTCGGAATGCATCATGAGTGGTGGAGGGGCGGTGAGGGAAAATTGTTCTGCACTCCTCAATTGGCTTGGAAGTCGTGATTGAGCATAATGACGGTGGGAATCGTAGCTTTCAGGGCAGAAAGATTGACACTTGAAATTGGTGATTTGCTGGAAATAGAGCGAAGAGAATTTTTCGTTGTTTTGATAAGTTTTTTTTTTGCATTTTTAAACCGTGGGACTGAATGATGTGTAAAATCATTACATTTTCCCACTAGGCAATTACAGGGTGGCAAACCTGGAGAACCGGGAAAAGTCAGAATTTTATGTTCAATACAGGAAAAACCAGGAAGATTCGAAGATGTTTTGCTGCGTCGTTTTCGTTCTTGTGAAAATGTTAAAAATTACATCTTCGGTTTAAAAAAGTTTTACTGAAGTGGTGTTGAAATGTGCAATAAGTGATAGTTATCAAATCCCTCCCTTTTTGTTGAATCAGGTGTCGTTTGTTCCAGCGCGTTGCAAAACACAGCTATAAGTTTTATCCATCTAAATTAAGACAATCATTTTACAATTTACTAAATACGCGTCAATCAAGTATTGCACTACTACTTGATTGAAAGTTTTAGTACATTATCAATGGTGCATATTAGCATCGACAGTGTATTGAAGCGGAGCTTAAATTGTGTGAATATAGCTTCGGAATGCTTGCGTTCTTGAAAAGGACTATTGGAGCTACGGTAGAGCTGTTACCTTCATACTCCCGGTTTCAAGCTTCTTGCATTAATAAGAAATCATTGCAGGCAGATTTTATCCATTATGCCACTGCTAGGAAATGGTAGTTAGATTGTAAAGACACAAACCAGGAAAATATTCGGAATTTGAAATATTCAACAGGTAAGTGCAATCAAGCAACAACATAATTAAAATTAGACTTGTTAAGAAAGCTGCATGTTTTTTACAAAGTTTTCTAGATTATGTTTTCAAAAAAGTATTTCAACGCCAATCAGTCTGACTTTCACTCCGATCTCTTTAAAACTTTGCATAATTGATCGATTTTTTGCTGAAAGTCAGCCATGCCTCATTTCTCAAACTGCACCAAAACGTCAATTCTAACTGATATGACGTCTGGTAGTTGTAGGCAAATAAATGGCCTTTACAGAAAAAAATGTGTTGCCAACATTTCAAATAACCGCCTTCAAACGTAGACCAAATTTTGCTCTAAAATGCGAATAAGTCATAATCTCTCTAAAACTGTCGATCAAAGGCTGACAATGCTTACAGTGCTGCCCGAGCAAAGTCGGTTAACAAAATGAAAGCAAATCGATATTAAAGTGTGCAGTTCCTATCATAATGAAAACTCATTTTGATTTCAAATGTTGCGACATAAGTCTGATATCATATTGTGCTTTCATTATGCAGTCAAGACGTTTTAAATGAAAGCAACTTAACTTGAAGTTCTGCTGTTTACGTCTTGTTTAAAATTTAATTGAAATTCATCTGTCGTTGAACTAATGATTATCGTTTATCTGATTTGTTTAACACATTTTAGGTCATTCGTGACTTGCCCGCGGTGAGATTGGAGCCTAAGTCTTTCAGCTTGAGAAACATGAATGGTAACCATTTACTCTAGGCCTATATTCAGTTAAACATTATGAATGCAA